CAAACAATTATTCGTTATGTGGAATCTGGTAAGAGCGAAGGGGCTAAATTGATTTGTGGTTTGTGAATTTTTTTATTGTTCAATTATTTGTGCTTCAAGATTATATAAGAAAAACTGATTACTTGCAAGTGCAAGCTCTAAGATGCTATTGCATTCGTCTATCATTCCAGGTGGCCATCAGTGGGGCAAGAAAGGATTCTTTTATGAGCCAACTATCTTCGCAGATGTGAAGGATCAAATGAAGATTGCCCAAGAAGAAGTTAGTTTCAATCAATTTTGAACAAACTTTTTTCTCTTGTATTTTATTGTATGTGTTGTCCATTTTTTCCCACCAAATTTTCAAGCATGTCTGCTTTATGCAACTGGAGAAATCAGATATATTCCAATACGTATCGTACTCGATTGTTTCGCATGTTTTCAGATATTTGGGCCAGTAATGTCCGTGATCAGATTTGACACGATGAAAGATCTTGTGGCTATTGCAAATAATACCATATATGGACTAGCTGCCGCAGTTGTAACGCCTGATATTGAAAAGGCACTATACGTGGCAAACAACATTCAGGCAGGATCAGTATGGTTAGTGTTTCTATAAATGTGATAATCAGAGTAAACATTTTGAGAGGACAATCATGATCTTGACCCTTTTCCTTTTCCATCTTGTTATGATGTTGCAATGTATTTAGGGTAAACTGTTTTGACGTATTCGATGCGGCAGCACCATTTGGCGGTTATAAACAGTCAGGCAAGCTTTGTATTACTTTATCAAATTATACTTTCCAAAATAACTAAGTTTTTTTTAGGTATTGGTCGTGAACTCGGAGAGTATGGGCTTGAAGCATATACTGAAGTAAAAACAGTGACCATCAAAGTACCGCAGAAGAATTCGTAGACAGTGTTTATAATGTTCTAGAATTGTGTCAGAAAATAGACTGTGGTAAAAAATTGTATAAAATCAAAGTCTTTGCAAGTGGTGAAGCTCTGTGCTAACTCAAATCACCTTTATGCGGGGTAAACAAAGACGAATTCTTTCACCGAATCATCTAT